TGGTCAAATATTGGAGAAGATATTTAATTTAAATATTTAAATATACAGTAGTTTTGTTTAAATAAGGATTTGATTTTAATATTGTTCTTCAACTATCAGTGCATTGCTGGTTAAAAAGTTCATTATTATTATAAACTTCATCACAAGTAATGAAAACGACATAACACATAAATGCATTATACATTATGTATTTTAACAGAGTATTTCAATAATATTATGTTTTGATCCAGTCATTAGTTGTATTATTTTAAAGGTTTGTTGTTTTTCTGTTAAAGTTTTTTACTGTCTTTAAAATTAAAGCATGATATATAATTCTTCATTTGAGTGTATTTGTCACGAATCCGGTCCATGAACTTTCCTTTTCATTGACTCTCGCACCACACAAACTGTTGCACAGCACCCCGGACTACATTTCCCATCATGCATTGCACTGATTGCACTCAGCACGAATTGCACACACCTGTTTACACTGATTGCACCCAGCTGTTTCATATCACTCCCTCACTATTTAACACTCACTCTGATCCCTTCCCTCTGCCGAGTATTGTTTCAGCATTTATCACTCTCCTAGAGATAGCTACCTTACGGAGCCCTAGTCATTTGCCTTAGCCCTAGTCATTTGCCTTAGCCTTAGCCTTAGCCTTCCCGGTTTCTGATCTTCGCCTGGTTCCCTGGATTCACCCCTTTTGTCTTGCCCCTTTTGATTCTGTCTGCCGATCGTCGACCTGTGCTAGCCCTAGGACTATTCTTGTGTTTTGCCCACCATATACCTGTTTGCCCTCATCTGACCCATGCCTGCTGTATGACCACGTCTCTGTCTGTGTCTAATAAAGCTCTGCGAATGGATCCTCAAGTCTCACGTCTCGTCAGCCCCGTAACAGTATTACTCGATTAATCTTCATAATAATCAGCTGACTGTGACAGAACCAATCCGAACAGCTTTTTTTATTGATTTTATAAGTCATATTTCTTTGGCTGTTTGTTGCAGATGCTTTCTTTATCCATTGATAGTAGACAATCTGACTTAATATTGAGTTGATTACATTAACCATGATTCTCCTTGCGCTCACTTAGGGGTGTGCGATGATGACAAAAAAAAATATGTCTCTCTTTTCTGGAGTTTTGTCGATAATGATAATCAGACGATATTTTGCTGGTACTTTGGCAGGTTTAGGACTGCCATGGACAGCTGACTCCCAAAGCT